AGTTGGTAAGTGAGAGAGAAGCAATATTGTTTGAAAAGGTTAGCTTTTTACTTCTTTACAGATTTATGCCCTGTGGCTTTTATGCCCAGCATTTGTCTTGAGGTATCTTTACCACTTGGAAGAATTATGATACTCGATAAATGCAAATTGGAGGTTTTTTAAACAAATGAAGGGAAAATACATTTTAAGCAACTTGTTTAAAATTATGTTTAAGAATGTGTTTGTAAGACTGATCAGATTTTCATTTGCCAGAATGAAATTTAAGAACGTGTTTATAAGACTTCTCAGAAATTCATTAATGTTGTTTAGTCATCACTGAGCTTTATCAAATTTTAACTTCAACATTTAGTGGTGTTACGATGTGCGCTTGAGAGGGCCACCTAGTGGGATGTTTTTGGTATAGCGTGTCTTGCTCCTGCACTACATTTTGATCTGATAGAAATAAGATAATTAACTAGTTTGTTCATGTACCAAATACATTTGAGTTATCCTTTCTGTATAGATTCAGCTGTACATAAATGGGTGTTTAAAGCATTTCTATAATAATTTTATTTTATTTTTAAACAGAAGAAGCAGACTACAGTGCCTTTGGTACAGACACACTAATAAAGAAGAAGAATGTTTTAACCAATGTGTTGCGCCCTGACAACCATAGAAAAAAGCCACATATAGTCATTAGTATGCCCCAGGACTTCAGACCTGTGTCTTCTATTATAGATGTGGATATTCTCCCAGAAACACATCGTAGGGTTCGTCTTTACAAATATGGCACTGAGAAACCCCTAGGATTCTACATCCGGGATGGCTCCAGTGTGAGGGTAACGCCACATGGCTTAGAGAAGGTCCCAGGGATCTTTATATCCAGACTTGTCCCAGGAGGTCTGGCTCAAAGCACAGGACTATTAGCTGTTAATGATGAAGTTTTAGAAGTTAATGGCATAGAAGTGTCAGGAAAGAGTCTTGATCAAGTAACAGATATGATGATTGCAAACAGCCGCAACCTCATCATAACTGTGAGACCAGCAAACCAGAGGAATAACATTGTTAGGACCAGCCGGACTTCTGGCAGCTCTGGCCAGTCTACTGATAACAGCCTGGTTGGCTATCCACAGCAGATGGAGCCCAGCTTTGAGCCAGAGGATGAAGACAGTGATGAAGATGACATTATTATTGAAGACAATGGAGTGCCACAGCAGATTCCTAAAGCTGTTCGTAATACTGAGAGCCTGGAATCACTAACACAGATAGAACTCAATTTTGAGTCTGGACAAAATGGTTTCATTCCTTCTAATGAAGTGATCTTAGCACCCAAAGCAAGTGGCACAAATACAGAATTTGAAATGCATGCTCCAGATCAGAAACTCTTAGAAGAAGATGGAACAATCATAACACTATGAAACCATTGTTTGAACTGTTCTGAGTGAAGGATGTGACCGGGACTTGTAAATGTGGC